CCACCTGTCAGCCCCTTTAAAATACTTCCTTGTGAATACACTTTGCACATGACTCCCTGGAGAAAAGGACCTTCTCGACTCCAAGGCAGCTTGAGACAGACATACGTGGCTAATTAAAACACAAGCTAAAGCAAGTATTTCCCCCTCATTAGAGTTTTTCCCAATTCGAATTGCTCTTCCAGTGAACTCCCACATCACTTTCTGTGTCTCTCCAATTACACTTTCCAACTCTGCACTGACAGGTGCAAATGCACGGGCCTCTACTTCGTTAGAATCTAAGTTATTTGAGGGTGGGATCTAGTTAACTTTAACTCATCTTCGTAAACTCCATATCCCTAGGTATAGTGCCTTGCACACAGTATATGTCACACCAATGACTGTGAACACACAAAAGCAGAACAGAGACGGAGACAATGACGTGTGCCGTAGGCACCAGGCTCATAACAGGGTGCAAAAGAATCACTGCGGCTAGCGCCCGCATTGGAGTAGGTTGGTAACGCTGAAAGTCCAACTCTCAGTATGTAGTGAATGAACAACTAGTCAGTAAATGAACATTTGGTGACATAAGGAGTGATGGGATAGGGTAATAGCTTGACTGGTGGCAGAATGAAGGCTTTTTTCTTTCCTTTCTGAAAAAAGAAGGAAGTCTTTGGACCAGCAGTTGGTATAATGGCTATGTTGCTGGATTCCCATGTAGTTGACCGCAGTTCAAGTCCTGGACCCGGTGGCTTAAATTTATGTCGGGCATGTGTGCGTGCATGCCCAAAATCCCGAGAGAATGGAAGAAAGCAAGCTGCCAGGTCTGGGACTTGAACCATGGACAGCCATGTGGGAGTCCAGCACCCCTAACCACCATGCCACCTGTCAGCCCCTTTAAAATACTTCCTTGTGAATACACTTTGCACATGACTCCCTGGAGAAAAGGACCTTCTCGACTCCAAGGCAGCTTGAGACAGACATACGTGGCTAATTAAAACACAAGCTAAAGCAAGTATTTCCCCCTCATTAGAGTTTTTCCCAATTCGAATTGCTCTTCCAGTGAACTCCCACATCACTTTCTGTGTCTCTCCAATTACACTTTCCAACTCTGCACTGACAGGTGCAAATGCACGGGCCTCTACTTCGTTAGAATCTAAGTTATTTGAGGGTGGGATCTAGTTAACTTTAACTCATCTTCGTAAACTCCATATCCCTAGGTATAGTGCCTTGCACACAGTATATGTCACACCAATGACTGTGAACACACAAAAGCAGAACAGAGACGGAGACAATGACGTGTGCCGTAGGCACCAGGCTCATAACAGGGTGCAAAAGAATCACTGCGGCTAGCGCCCGCATTGGAGTAGGTTGGTAACGCTGAAAGTCCAACTCTCAGTATGTAGTGAATGAACAACTAGTCAGTAAATGAACATTTGGTGACATAAGGAGTGATGGGATAGGGTAATAGCTTGACTGGTGGCAGAATGAAGGCTTTTTTCTTTCCTTTCTGAAAAAAGAAGGAAGTCTTTGGACCAGCAGTTGGTATAATGGCTATGTTGCTGGATTCCCATGTAGTTGACCGCAGTTCAAGTCCTGGACCCGGTGGCTTAAATTTATGTCGGGCATGTGTGCGTGCATGCCCAAAATCCCGAGAGAATGGAGAAGGGATTGCTGCGTGGCCATCCCCTCTTGGGGGGTGATTTCTCACTTTCTTTCTGTCTATCTGTCTTACTGGTGAGCGCACGTGCCCTATAACAAAAAACCTCTCCAAAAATAAACAAATAAATAAAGGAAGGAAGGAAGGAAGGAAGGAAGGAAGGAAGGAAGGAAGTCAGTCAGTCAGTCTTAAATAAGACTTGGAAGAAATGAGCTGAGATGATACAAAATGGAAAAGGATGCCTAAAGGTTCTGAACAAGCAAGATTACAAATGAAGACACTCCTTGGAAAGGAGGGATGAGATAAAACCCACTTGCAAGGAGGGATGACAGAGAAATGGCTAGGACAGAATTATTAAGGGACAGAAGAACTATGTTATGTAGCCTAAGTTTTCTTGATAAAATGAGAGGCAGGAATACCTATTCATAGTTTGGGGGCAAGGGTCTTGGGCTTACACAGAGTAGCATTTTAGGTCAGTTCCTATCAATGAGCTCTTCTGCAGAGAGCACATTCAATAGCCTTACTGTTGATGGAATACTGCACCGTCAACTCTGAACACCCTGAACACGGCCCAAATCTCTAAAGACCAAAAAGCAAACTAAGTGGTGAATCTATAGTACATGTAGGCATTTAGTTAAGTATAGCAATTCAAACTGCATCCATCCAAAACAAGTTCTTCAACCTTATTTTTTACTTGAAATCTGCTAGAAGAAACAGCAAACTGAAATTTGTTTTATGTATGAGTTAATACCACTGGCTCAGCAAACACAAGTTAGTTTGCTTTAGGCAGGAGACTTTTTTTGTGATGGAAGAAATGCACTACAGAAGGAAGATTCTTTTTTTTTTTTTTTAGTGCAGGAGGCCCTTTATTATTGCTCCAGAAAACAAAAGCCTGGCTGAGTTGGTGTTTTACATCCTCCTTTACTGAAATCTACCTGACATGATGCTTCTTGTTGGGTTTTTGTACACACAGTGAACATTGTCAAGCTGTGAAAGAAAATGGTTGGAAGTGTGCTTTGTGTGAAAGGTGAGCAATAAAGTATCTGTATGTTCTGGAAAAAAATAAAATTACTGAAGTAAAAATGAAAGTCAATTAAAGACAAGTGGAAGGACAAATGAGTTGTTTATTTGTAAATTTGTAGAAGAATCAAGTCAGCCCAATATTTTTACTTCAAATATCAACACTCAGAAGGTCAGAAGCAAATAGAAAACCACCTGAATAGCGGTATCCATTTCTTGAGGCTGTTGTTGCCAAGTATGAGAAACTGGGTGGCTTAAAAGAACTCAATGGTTTTGGAGGCTAAAAGCTAGAATCTATAGTCAATAGGACCATGCCCTAATTGCTCTGGAGAAGAACTGACCAACCCTCTAGTAGCTCTCGGTACTGACTGACCAGCATGGCCACCCCTTAGCTTGCAGATGCACCACTCATCGCGTGGTCACCTCCTCTCTGTAAGTGTACACATTGACTTTTCTCTGTGCACATCTGTCTGTATTTCCCTTTCTACAGAACACCAGTTGTATTGCGTTAGGTCTGACCTTAATGAGCTCTTTGAATTTAGAATTTAATTACCTCAATAAAAAAACCTTACTTCCAATACGCTCATATTCCAAGATGCTGGGGGTTAAGGCTCAACACATCATTTTTTAGGGACACAATTCAACCTGTAACAGGTAGGGGCGAAGATAAAGGGGGTGAGAGGAAACTTAAAATGCTAATGAGAGCATTAGCGGGATGGCTAAGCATGGGGCCCTCGCTGGGAGGAGGGAGACAAATTCAGAATCTTGCAGATCAAGGGTTTGAATGATGGGATATAGGCTAAGAGTTTGCAAGTGGGAAGTAACAGACCATTAGTTCAATAAAGGTCACTGTATGAGGGAAGGCTGAGAGAACGGGACTTCAGGGTCTAAGATCTCAGATTAGTGAAATGATGCTGAAGGTTTGGCTGTGACCACGGCAGGTCAGCTAGAGGGAAAGAAATTTGTTCCAGCTGTCAGCCCCAGCAGCCAGTCTACAGGGAGCAGTTTCTCTATCCATAAGGACGAAGTACGAAGATAATACTGGGGAAAGGGACTAAGGGCATCCGTAGTTAGAAGCCACAGCTGTTGAGGAGGAAGGAGAGTAGCCTATAGATCAAGAGACAGAGCATGGGGAAAAGGCAATATATATGGAGGAGATAGATTCCAAGAGTTCCTGAAAGATGGGGGCTCTAGAGAGGAAGGAACCCTGAGGAGCAGAGGATACAGGAACTTTGGCTGGGACAGCAGCACAGTAGTAGCAGTGGCCACTTTGGGTGGCTAGGAAGTTAAGTGCAACAGGGATGGAGGAGGAAAGGTGACGGCAAAATTAAGAGCTGAAGCATTAGCCTGTCTCATGTGCTGTGAGCCATTGATGGACTGCCCCAAACTTGCCTTTTCTTTTGTATTTTCCTCCTGAGGTAATAAAGGAGTGACTATAAAAACCCTCCCCTTAATAACCCAAAATGTCAGAAGTGACTTTAGGGCATGGCCCTCTACCTGAGATCCAGCTTTCTAGTCTACAGTACCAGCACCAGAACAAAACTGGATGCTGTTTGTGGGCATAGATGAAGCCATTTCCCAGGAGAGAGGCAGCAGCATGCTGACCCTGGGGAGCTACTCAGATTCGATCTCCTCATTCATGCAATGGGGTAACAGTACCTCCCTCACAGGACTGCTGGAGCTGTTGGCACGCAGAAAGTCCTTAATGTTAGTGGTGGCTGTTACTATTACAAATCCCAGTCTAATGAAGGGGAGTTGAAAGTATGTTGCTCATGGGACCAGCAGGTGGCATGGTGGTTAAGGGTGCTAGACTCCCTCATGGCTGACTGTGGTTCAAGTCCTGGACCTGGCAGCTTGCTTTCTCACTTTCCCTCTCTCTCTCTTTCTCTCTCTCTTGCTCTATCCCTCTCCGTTCAAATTCAAATTAAATAAATAAATAAAGTTAAATAAAATAATTCTAAAAAAAAAACTGGAAAGAAAAGAAAAGAAAAAAAAAAGAAAGTATGTTGCTCAAAATCAAAATAACAATGATGACAAGATTTCCTTTCAGGATCAGCAAGTGGTGTGGAGGTTAAGGTGACTGGATCCCATATATATCTGTCTGTGTGGTCTGAGTCCTGGACCAGGTGGCTTGAAAAACATGCCAGGTATGGCACATACAGGTGAGTGTGTGCCCACAATCTCGAGAGGAGAATGGAGAAGAAATTGCAGCAGAGCCATATCCCTTGGAGAAGTGATTTCTCACTTTCCCTTTCTGTTTGTGTCTGCTGAGTGTACACCCCCTATAGCAGGAAGAAAAAAAGCTTCCCTCTTTTCCTTTCCCCTAAAATAAAGAATACACCAAGATAATCCCAGAATGTTTATTCCACAGGTTCTTGATAAGAGCGCACATTCGATCCTGAATAAAAATACACCACCGTATGTAAAGGCAATATTACGTAACAAGTAAAAGCTCCCGTCTCACAGAGGAGAAACTTGGGAAAGGAATTTTTCATCTCCTGACAGTTTGACAATGTTCGCATCTCCTGCGCACTTTAAACTCCATCCCTTTTTTCATTTTCTTCAACTTCTGTAACCAGATGTGTTCACAAGTTGTGTGTGCGTGGGTGTATACACAACAGGCTCACTACACCTCCTGGATAAAGGAGCTGAGACGATGCTTGGGGAAGAAAGTTACCGGCACATAATCAACAAGCTGAGCTGAGGTGGCTTCACAGCTAAGGCTAGCTTTCTGCTCAAAACTCCTTACATTCCAAAAATGTCCCTGTGGGTGCCCGAAACATGAAAGCTGGGGGCTCATGGTATGGAGGTTGCTCCAGTCCTGAACTTCTCCTGGTGCAGGTGTGAAAGGCTGAGACCCAGTGGAAAGGAGAAAGTGGGAATGCGTGAATGTGCCACACCCAACTCGGTGCTGCCTGCACAGAGACTCAAGGCCACGTGGTCTCAGAACATGTGTGGGCTTGGGCTGAGGAGGGTGAGACCACGCAAAAGCCTGTGCTTGACCACCAGACTCTGCAGCCTCAGGTTCTCTCGCGGACTCTGAACGGCTGAAATCAATCCCCGGCCCCAGGATCTCGACCACAAGCCTCAGAGCCCTTTTAAGGTAGTAGCTGGTGGCTCTAGGTCAATACTTGCCAGTTCTGTCGTTCCACGGCCCTTTTTGGCACCTGAATGGGCAGGCTCCCACACATGTGGCCTGCTTTCAGAAAAGGAGAAGACGGGTGGAGGAAGCTCAGGAGGTTGTGGCCCAAGTCAAGGAGTTCTTCTGGGAGGTGCTGGGTCTGGGGGCCTGTTAGGCAGAAACTTTTGCTGCTTCCCGAGCCTGGTGCTCCTGCTTCGCCCTCTCTCTCTGCTCTTGTTCCCTCTGAATCAGCTGCACCCGCTCCAGATGCCACTGCTGCAGTTTCTGCTCATAGGTGGCGATATCCTCTGCTTCACAGGCAGGGAGCTTCTCCGCGAGAAGTTCAGTGGTCAAAGTCAAAAGGCTTTCCGACTCAACTCTGCCCAGAGTCTGAAGCTTAGAATGCAGGGCCTGTTGGAAACAAAGGGAAAAAGAGGAGAAGGGGGAACAGGAGGGATAAAATGAAAAACGATTAAGTCACCTGCAAAATATTCACACGTTTTGCTTGCAGGGAAAGGCAGTTTTTCGGGAGATTGTCATGCTGCCTTTCATCCAGGCACTGTTGGCTTCTGCCATTTTTTTCAGCTCAGCAAATTTGCTAAGATGTACACCACGTGATTTCTCCCTCTCTGCTCTCAAACAGTAAATGGAACTCCAGCTGCTGCAATTGCTCATTTGAAAACAGAGTCAGCACAAGTATAACAAATCTGCATTTCGATTCTGACCTACACCAAGCCAAGCAGCAAACTCCAAGAACTAGGATTCTGAGATGCAAACAAAATAGCAGAGGCTTCTGATAAAGTGGAACAAGCCCATCCGTATCTCTTCTTCAGAATATCTTAGATAAATGTTTGCTTCACTAGTGTTCCTTTCAATGGATGGAAATCAGTTGAAGGATTTCTCAGTAATGGCATGCTAATCAGCTCCCATGAGTGCTCGCACTGTTGTAAGCTTCCACCTGCTCATGTTCCACTGCAGGTCAGCATTTACACACTGGCTGCACACAGTTCCCTCTGAAATGGCAGCTTGTTTGGTCACTGTTGTATTTCTGGAGAAGCAAAGTGCAGTATTAAAAACATCAATCTACTTAAGTGCTTCAAGATGCAGATCATCAGAGAGCACCACTGATAGCCCCAGCTGTAGCTTATACTGTACATCCCCACTTTCCACAGACAAATGCAGTACACTGGCAAAATGACAAAGCCTTCAATAAAAGGGTGGAAGGCGGGCAAAGTCCGTGGGCCCCAAGAGTAGCCCAAGTTCTAGTGTGATGGGTCAGTCATACAGAAGTGGGTTCCAAACAAATGACCTCAGACTAATAAAAACCAGGCAATAGGAAGCAATGCAAATATAAAATGAAAAATGATTTATTTTTAGATGTCACTCTCCAAGTGGTTTGAGGTCAAAGAGATATGCTTGAGACACTACAATAAGAACTCGCCTGAGTCAGCAAATGTGCTCAAATCCAAAATCAGTCACTTGAGGTATTACAGCAGCTGGTGGCTCCAGTCTGACCACTTGCTGGTTTCGCATGCATTTCTCACAGTCTTGCTATTCCGTAATGTGGGAAGAAGAGTATCCAATACTCAGAGCTTGTGCAATGATATAGACAAAATGCAGAGGTGCCTAACACACAGCTAGCAGTTAATACACATTTATCTTTTTCTTTCTTTTGATTTTTATGGAGATGTGCTTGTTGAAGAGTGAGGGCTGAGAACTTAATGCAGGGACAGGTTGCTATTCTTTGAAACAAATTCATAAGGAATAAGAGAAAACAAACTGAAGTTTTATTTTTTTTTAAGAATTATTTATTTAATTTTATTTATTATACTATTATTTTTTGACTAGAGAGAGAGAGAGAGAGAGATGGAAAGTGAGAAAGCAAGCTGCCAGGTATAGGACTCGAACCGCAGTCGGCCATGTGGAAGTCAATTGCCTCAACCACTACAACATCTGCTGGCCCCAAGACTGAAGTTTTTAGGAGTAGTGTGACGACCTTGATGGAGCTATGTAGATTTTTTTATTTAGCCTTTATTTTTAATGAAAAATATGTATTTCATAACACACTACATATAGGCACACAAGAGACAGAGAGAGAGAGAGAAGCACTGTCTTCTAGGTCTGATCATGCTGCAAACCCCTTCCTCTAGTGCTCCAGATCATCAGATCTTGGGCACTTGCACACATGCTAGGTATGATTCAGGCTGCCAAGACTGGGGATTTGCACTGTAGTCACCATATAGCTTCCAGCACTGCAGTCACCATGTGGCTTCCAGCACCATAGTTCAGCATATTATCACTATACCATCATGGCTTGGCCTTTTTAACCTTTTTGAATCTACAAAGTTATGCAAAATTAAGAGGAAAGGATAGGTACACAAATTTTCAACCTAGCTCTACAGCTAATTCCGTGTACCTTGGGAACACTGACTAACCTACCTTTCTCAATTTCATATGATGAAAGAAAGAAGTTGAGCAAAGACCTTACAGAATTAATGAGTGAAAGAGCTGCTAAAAATACGATAGAATCCCCTTTAAAACATGGAGAAATAGGATTCCCACAGCTGGTTCAGTATAATTACCAAAAAGATTAAAATATAATAATCCAGTATATATCTCTTTGTCCCAAAATGACGTAAGAGGTCAGCGGCATGGTTGGGAAAGTTTTCTGCCATGTTCAAAGAATTCTCATCCAGGAAGCACTTTTTTTGGGGGGTGGTAGTGGTGGTGGTGGTATTCTAGGTAGATGAGAAGTAAAGCGAAGAAGAGGCTAAGAGTTGAAAAGTTGAACATGGTGCTTTTTCTGGGACGTGATTACAGAACATGTGGGATGTACAGAGTTGAAAGGTACCAAAGGTAGCCTGAGTGGTCAGGATTATTCTAGAAAGAAACAGTCTGTTTACATCTTCCACAAAGTAAAGCTGCCAAAGATAAGCAACAAAAGATGCCTGTATCTTACCTCTACATACTCAAATGTGACTTTGCAATATCTAACTGGGTTTGTGGGTTGTCAAGCACATTTAGTGCAATATGGAGAAATGACCAGATACTCTCCACCCAGCGTGAAAGGCAGGTTACTGCTATGAGGAGGCAAGCTATTATCCACCCATCAAGCACATTTCAGGGATGAGTGGGTAATGACATGCCGTCTTAGTGAACAAAACTGTGACCGATTAGTTCAAGTACAAAAAGAAGCATAAAAATTCCACTGGTTTCTTTTAAGGGCACTTCCTATATGAAGCAAAGGCAATTTTTGATGTCAGTTTTTAATGCCTTTGTCTGTGACACTGATGCACAGAGAGACAGCCTGTCTGTCACCACAGCAGAAGAACATGTTTTATGCATAGATGAGAGGGACCCGATGCTGCTGATTTACCTTAAATCGTTCCAGGTACTGTGGAAGCTTGGACTGTTCTGTTTCCTCTATGTCTAATTGCTCCACCAGTGTTTCTGGCCCCTGGCTGTCTTCACCTTCTGGGGACTGTTCCTCATCGGCTGGAGAAGTCAGAGCCTTCAGCACTACATCCAGTACACTGAGCTGCGGAGCAGAAAGAGGGTCAGGATCTTGTGGTCCTGATTGCACATTGTTTAGAGAGGCTGGAGGTGAGAGAAAGGATAAAACAGGATCTAAAAAACTGTGGGAAGATTTCTCATATAAAATGATAGAAAATAGAAATGGTATTTTTTTTTTCATATTAGAAACACTATCAGATGGCATGAAAAACTCAGTAGAAAACAAATGATACAAATAAGCAAGTAAGAGTGTTTTGTTCAAGTGAATCAGCACAATGGCAATTAAGCTCACTTTTTAAAAACGAGATTTTTGCTATAGGGCGCATGTGCTCACTGGAGAAGCAGAGGGAGACAGAGAAAGCAACAAATCACTCTGCCTCCCCGGGAGGGAGACGGCCATGCGGTAATCTCTTCTCCTTCATTCTCCTCCTGGGATTTTGGGCATGCATGCACATGGAACCGGCTTGAGTTTCAAGCTTCTGGATCCAGGCCTCAAACCGCGATTGGTCATGTGACGTAATCATTATGCCATCTGTTGGTCCCAAGTTCACTTTTTTCTTTTTTTTTGAGAGTTTTTTGCTACAGAGCACACGCACTTGCCAGAAAGACAGAGAGAGACAGAGATACAGAAAGCGAGAAATCACCATCACCCCCAGGGGGGATGGCCATGCTGTAATCCCTTCTCCTCCATTCTCCTCTTGGGATCTTGGGCACGCACGCACACGTTCCTGGTGTGAGTTTCAGCTGCTGGGTCTGGGACTTCAACCGCAGTTGACTACATGGGAGTCCAGCAACATAGCCATTATGCCAACTGCTGGTCCTCCAAGTTCATTTTTTTTTTTTTTTTTGAGAGGTTTTTGCTATAGGGTGCATGCGCTCGCCAGAAAGACAGAGAGATAGAAAGCGAGAAATCACCCCCAGGGCGGATGGCCACGCAGCAATCCCTTCTCCTCCATTCTCCTCTCGGGGTCTTGGGCACGCACGCACACGCGCCTGGTATGAGTTTAAGCCACTGAGTCCGGAACTCGAACTGCGATCGGCTACATGGGAGTTCAGCAACACAGCCATTATCCTAACTACTGGTCCCCCAAGTTCATTTTTTAATAAGCCAGTCAGAGTCCAAGAATTATGCTTGATGGGCACTAAAGTACCTCAACCGTCCCTATCTTTCTTTCTTATTTTGGATTTTGGGATAAAGGGAAAGAAAGAACAATACAGACCACAACCAACAAAGACATTCCAAATGTACGTTAAAGCCTCTGGATACAGGCAAGCACGTTCTCCCCAGGGAAAGATTTTAGTTCCCAGGGTATCTGTAAATTATGGGTCAGAGTAATCCACGTAGGCTGCCGGCAAAGGCTGAAGACACGTGTATGAAATTCACTTTAACTAGGTGAGTTCTATGACTTGTATAAGCAAATGAAAAAACAGAGATTTTCTTTTGTTTTTGACTGTTCTTCCCTCCACTTTTTCCCTGGGGTATACCTCCCCTGACCCATGGCGGGAGAGATGAGGGAGAGAAACGACGGTGAGATCAGCACAAGCACCTGCTTAAGACAGTGATTCATCTCATCCGTATCATTTTTTAGAACAAAAATCCAGAAAATATTGCAAGGCCCTTTCATATTAATACATCACACCCCGAACTAAGCACATACCATGTTCTTACAGACATGTGAATCATATTCCTAGTAAATCAGAATAAAAAGAATGCCAATCTGGCTCAGATTGGAAGGAACATTTCCCTGGCAAAGGATTTATGCATAATTGTGTGTTTTCGGTCACTAGCCTGACTACAGCAGAGTTCACACTTGAATAGCTAGAAATGCATATCCTTTGTTGTAAATGTCGGGGTACAAGGTGCCAGCACCAGACCTGAGCATCTTATAACTGAAAGGAAAACTGGGCTGAGCCCCACTGACCAGGCTCAAGATGAAAATAAGGGCTCCAAGGTAACTTGTTTTTTTGCACCCCCATCCCCACCCCAGTTGGGCATGGTCATGCTGCAATCAACCCCTTCTCCATTTCTCCATCCGGTCAGGGTTCTGGAATGCACATACATGTGTCCAGTGTGTTTTTCAGAATGCTGGGGCCAGGATTCTAACTGTGCAGTCAGTTGTGTGGGACCCACCAGGCCACAGGGTCTAGACCCTTTACACTCTGGTGATGAGACAGCCAATGTCCTTTTGGGCCTCACTCTGGCCAAGAAAGCTGCTTGTACAGGAGTGAATCCTGTGCCTCCCTGTGGGGTATAAGGCTTGCCATGTTTCCTAGAGTCTGAGCCAACAGAGAACACAGTGTCAAGGGTCCTAGGACCAGGAGAGATGAGTTTTGAGGTTGGTGGGAGGACCGTGTTCTCGTCCAGGCAAAGGGAACATTTCAGAACCCCGAAAGGAACATCTGATCCAGATCTCAGCATCAGACATTCACCATGGAACAAAAGTAAGACTGTGCTACCTTGTCTCCAGATTCATTTGAGGGTTTTTATGGGAAAAACATGCCTGTGGCCCTCAGAACCACATGAGGGAATAAGCATGCCAAACATACTTAAAATAAAAATTATCCTCTCTTGAACTTCCACTGAGATTTTTTTGCATGGAGTGGTGGTGGTAGAGCAGAAGCAGTGGAATGGGCAACATTTTATTTAACTTAGACTGAGTTTCAGGAGACAGGTTAGGTTTCCTCCTAGACAATGAACTATATATCAAAATTAATCTTATTTTTTAGTGCTTTTCGTCAGCAGTATTGACCATGTGTGTGGTTTTCCATGCCTTTTCAACTGGTTAAGTACCTGTTCTATTGAAAGTAGGGGTAAGGGGACGACCATGAAAACCCAATGCTCAGCTTCTTATGAGGAACATGAGACGGCAAAATCTCCGAGTCAGGGTTGAGGAACATACCGCTTCTCCACATAGCTTGACGTCTTCTGGGGAGGAGGCCACTGTCTCCATCACTCCAAGGGCTCGGTCAAGGTAGCCTGGCTTCCATATCAGAGGCATGTTGTGGTACACGGCTCGCAGCCCTTTCTGCAATTCTACCTTTCCTATAGCCAAAAAAAGAGGAGGTATGCTCAGTCATGTCTTCTCACTCCCTCTGAGACTGATCTCCTGAAGATGCCAGAGTGTATTCACTTTACAGCTCTAGAAACAGAGAAGGATCATTCTGAATCTGTATAAAAAGCCTCATCTCATCTGATGATGTGGTGACTCTTTAGATAAAAGATGAAGAATATGAGACAGCTCATTTTTTTGTGTGTGTTGGAGAGAAGTTTTTGCTATAGGACCAGAAAGAGAAATCATCCCCCAGGGGGAATGGCCATACCACAATCCCTTCTCCTCCATTCTCTTCTTGGGATCTTGGGCACACACACACACGCACCCAGCATGAGTTTAAGCCATCGGGTCCGGGACTTGAACTGCGGTCAACTACATAGAAGTTCAGCAACATAGCCATTATGCCAACTGCTGGTCCCAATAAACCTCATTTTATACATTATTTTGTTAAAGTTTTAGGCACAGGGCATGAAGACTTGCTGGAGAGGATAGAGATAGAGAGATAGTGAGAGAGAAAATGGGAAATCACTCCTGAGGGGCTGGCCATGCTGCAATCCTTTCTTTTCCATTCTCCTCCTGGGATTTTGGGCATTTGTACGTGAGTTTCAAGCCACCAGGTCTAGGACTTGAAATGTGGTCAGCCATGTGGGAGTCCAGCACCATAACCACTATGCTACCTGTTGGCCTCTATTTTAAGCATTTTTTAAAAAAACATAAAGTCATGCAAACCTATTTTCCTTCTTTTTCACTTAGGGTAGTGGAGATTATCATGAAGATGTATGAATCAATGGGCTGAAAGAAATTTAGAGGTTGATGTTTCTAAGTAGGGCTACTGTGAAAAAACAAGTTAATCAAAACACTGTTTTGTTTCAGAAACAAAATCTTCCCTAGAAAGGAAATTCCACAACTTTCCAACAGTGAAAACCATGTCAACATCAGACAACCCTTTCTGTCCGAAATGTTTAGTATTTTTCAAAATCCTCTAAAATACCTAATCTACTTATTTTAAAAAGTCTTATTTTCTTCCTCTTTCCTTTTATTTGAGCTTTATCAGATCTTAAATAATAGTCCTCGCAATCCTCTGGAATCTCCAGACATGATATTTCTCTTGGTTTTTCAAACCGTCTCAAATGGAGCTTTGGGTGTAAATGCCAGACAGCAGGGTCCTCCAGTGGAGGGGGTGCTGTATGTATTCGGTGGAGCAGAAACCCTCTTTCCACTAATGACCAGAGTCACTGAGCTGCCAGGTCTTAAATCCACCTTCACTTATCTTTCCTGGGAAGGAGGATTTGGGAAAGCTGTGGTAGGGTATACACAGACAAAGCTTATCAAGTGACAGCTAATTTTAGACCTGTTAGGTACTTGGGGCCAGACTGCAGTCACACTCTGGGCACTGTTTCCCTCAGGGCTGAGTGAGACTGTGCAGCAGCCAAGAGCTTTTGATCTGATGGCTGCCAGTCACAAAGATCCAGTGCCTCTGCTCACAAACAACAACAAAGTATATTTTCTTAGCCCTGCCAACTTCCTGAGCTATCCATGCAGTAGAACAGTCCGAAATGCCAATCTGAATGTAAAGGAAAACACAGGTAAATCAATATCAAAAGTATGTGTCAAATAAAGTAATATAGTTTTAATAATTTAAAAATAATTTTATAAAGAATTACATATTTAATTTTATTTATTATCATCATTTTAAAAAAATTTGATCAGAGAGATACAGAGGGGAAAAGTGAGAAAGCAAGCCATCAGAGAAACTCTCACAGATCAGCTCTGTTCCAATCTAGTTCTCTGCCATTCTGTGATGCTTTGGCCCTTCCACATGGCCAGAATCATATGAGCATAGCAAGTCACTGAAATAGGAAAATGCAACAGCTATAGATCTAACAGCAAAATCATCACTCGCTACTTCATCAAATCTCCCATCTGTAGTTGGACCACTTGCTGAAATGAATATGGCCGAAGCTGAGTCGCGAAATTCCAACTTGGCAACAGTAGGAGCAGGTTCTGATGACCGGGTGAATGCCATTGAGTTGTCCCTGGGCAGCCCTACTGTGCAGACTGCCCTTTCCTGCACTAAAGTACCCCTGCAGGACTCAGTGGCCAAGGAAGAATCTAAGAAGAGCCAAGTGCCCTGGAGACCAAGAAGCAGCTGTGCCCCTACGCCGTGGTGGTGGTGGTGGTGGTGCTGCTACAGCGAGAACTGTGTGTCTGTGTCTATCTCCACAGGGACATGTGTGACGTGTGTGGACTGCAGGTCCTGCACCCGATGGATGTGGCCCAGAGACCATAGTACATACAATCTTGCGTTGAGGCCCATGAGAAGGACGTGGAGCTGTCACTTGCAATGCAATGTAATAAGACCATGGTGTGTGGGATCTGCATGGAGGTGGTCTATGAGAAAGCCAACCCCAGTGAGCGCCTCTTTGGGATCCTATCCAACTGCAACTACACCTACTGTCTCAAGTGTATCCGCAAATGGAGGAGTGCTAAGCAACTTGAGAGTAAGGTCATAAAGTGAGACTCCTCCCAATCTTTGTGATTTCTATTTTGAGGAAGAATTTAATACCTTGTGCCAACTTCCAACCTGATGGACTGCATTTAAATGCATGTATTTTATCTCGAAACTGGGGCATTCTTTTAATTGGCATTTTTTTTCTTTTTTTTATGTATTTCAGCTAGCTTCTAGGTTGGCTGATCTATCTACTTTTGTTTGAATGTGTAAACCCTATGTACCCGTTAGTAGAATCTTCGTGCCTTTTCTAAGGAGATTATGTTTAATGGATTGGCCAGTTTGGGCTCTGAACAAACTTATCTAGCTCTGAATCTATGTTTCCTGACATTTTATTTATATTTTCCACTTTCTTATTATATCATCCATTAAGCTAGCCAATTATCTACCATCCTTTAAAGACTGTACTCATAACTGAACAAAAACATAATCTAAAAAGAGCAAAGTTACAAGAAATAAATTTATGTAAACAAAAAAGAGAAAGAAAGAAAGAAAAAGTCATGAGGTCTGAAATTCAAACTGAAGTTGGCTGTATGGGAGTCCAGCACCCTAACCACCACATCACCGGCCAGCCCTAAAAATTATTCTTTTTTTGGAGAGGTTTTTGCTATAGGGTGAATGCGCTCACCAGAAAGACAGAGAGAGACAGAGACAGAAAGCGAGAAATCACCCCCCCAAATGGGGATGGCCACGCCGTAATCCCTTCTCCTCCATTCTCCTCTTGGGATCTTGGGCACACACGCACATGTGCCTGGTGTGAGTTTAAGCAGCCGGGTCTGGCACTCGAACCACGGCTGACTACATGGAAGTCCAGTGACATTGCCATTATGCCAACTGCTGGCCCCCCTAAAAAATGATTTTTAAGGAGTAGTCAACTCTTTTGTTAGTCTTCTAGTCAGTCAGATAAACTCTAAAGTTCACTTCTCTGAGTTAGTTTATGTCAGAACTAGCATCCAAGAATGCCAATACCACATTTTGCTGGCAAAGATCAATTTCCAAAACAGTTGAACTAGGCTGCCCTATATCCTAACGGTTAAGGGGGCCAGATCCCACGTGGCAGAACACTGTTCGAATCCCAGTCCCTGCAGCTTGAAAGACAACCAAGCACGTGTGCATGCATTCCCCAAACCTCAACAGGATGCAGAAATGGAAAAGAAAGGAGTGCAGGGTGACCATGTCCCATGGGAGGGTGCATTTTCCCTGTCCTGCTGGTGAGTACACATATCCTCCCTCTGGCAATGATAACAAACAAACGAAGAGAAGCCAGACTGCTGTAACTTTGATGATTTCCAGAAAACAGAGGTAGGCAGAGGAAAGTATGATCAAGAGAAGGTGCTTCTTTCCAGATGCCTAACTACTTGAGAGAAAATAGAAGAGTAATGAAATAACATGCATTTAATAAATCAGGAATTGTTCTATACACATGTCATTTGAATATATTTGCCCAGTTTCAACATAACCCAAATTCTACTGTCACTCCTCAGAAGGTTTTGTCCTCTTCACCAGTCTGATGTTCAACAATCAGGGCCCAAAAGTAATAGTGCAATCACACTGCACCAATAAGCCACTCTGCTCTTCTCAAAGTGCTACTAGTTGTGCTCTCGGAGTTTCTCTTCTCTCATGTGAAAACAATGCTGAAAGTACAAGTCTAACCCTAACTCTTTAATTTTTATATCCTGGACTTCAGGTTTAAAGAGAAAGGAGTATCTTTGTTAATACTGCATAAGAGCCTACTGGCTGATTCTCCCTAAAGAGGACAGAACTTTCCTTCCCAAACTTCTTCACACTGATTCCTATTTAATATTACCTAGTGCCACCAGAGCTAGCTCTGCTTTCCCAGTGGAGAGAGGTTTGAAGAACTTTATTCACTCTCTCATGTCATAACTGTAAGGCCACAGAGGAATAGTTTTATGTCTAAAAATTATAATTGCAATTTCTCTAGTAAATCTAAATCAAATTATGATTTTATTATGAAGTGGGAGAATGCATCAATTTTCCCCATAAAGAACTATATTGTAAGGGTCACTTGACTTACCAAGAAGTGCATAGCCATACAACTGGGAACTCAAACCCACTGTGTTCTTTTGCTTTAGGCCTGGAAGTAACAGGGATGCACCAAAGTTTCGCTCCTCTTCCCACTGCAACAGAATATACCATATCAGTCGACCCAGGCAATGAATACTTTATGCAAAAATGTGATTTTTTAGTGATGTGGAGAAAAAAAAATGTTATATAGCATTAGGAATAAAAAAGCAAAACAACAAAGCTATGAATATACATTATAATTCCAATTTTGTAAATAAGAGGTATTTAAGTTTGAAGAGAAATTCAGGAAAGAAATATTCTATATGGTAACAAACTTCTGGGTAGTGAAATTATGAGTAATTATGGTCTTTTTCTTCTTTTCATTCTTTTTAAAAATTGTGGCAATGAATAAGAGTTCCTTTTACAATCAGAAAAGCAAAACAAAACAAAAATAAAAGTACACTTTAGACAAACACTGACTTGAGATAACCAGTACGATTCAAAGTGCTGTTGGTCCCATAATCACTCACAGTGCTATGGCATGAGGGAGCAGGCTTTCATGTTTTAAACAATTCAGCAATGATAAGATTTGTCTTTCACAGTGTTAAAATAAATACCACTATTAGGTTGCTTTTAGATAGATTTGTGCCTCTGAAAAACAAATTAGGCAATCAGAAACACTTAGTAATAATTTCTTTCAATCCAAGGTATAAAATTACACTTCAATAAAACTGAAGCCTTTTGAGACATGGGAGAAAAAAACCTAAGTACTGCTAAGCCTGCTGCAGACTAATAACATTCTTCGGGAGTTTGCTGGAAATACAGGGCCCAGAGAACCTTAGCAACTCCCTGGTGACTTTCGTAGTGCCATTTGAGTTCACACTGGCCAGAACTGGAGCCTTGCTGACTTTGAAATACTAGTCACAGAGCTCAGTCTACCCTGCACCAGTCTCTGCACTCTGAGGGCAGGGAGGAAGCAGGAGGATGTGCACGAGGTCTGCCGGCTACAGCTGTAGCTGGGTGTAAATGGGGCACCTCAAGTGCTAAGAGATACCCCAACCTTTTTACTGTGAATGGCCAAAACAAGAGTCATTTCTTTAGGTTTCTCTAAACCTTTGGGGAAAAAAACTAAAGACCTTGCAAGAAAAACCACACCTCCCTAAGCACTTCTGTGTTTACTTTACAAATAAGGAAAAGAGCCAGCCATTGTGGACCAGGTCATTTTACTTTGGAAAGCAAACAACTCTGGACCAGCAGGTGGCATGGTGGTTGAGGCAGCTGGATACCACATGGCCAACTACACAGTTCAAGTCCCAGACCCAGAAGCTTGGAAAACACATTGGATGTGCCTGCCCCAAATCCTTATAGAATGGAGGAGTGGGGACTGCAGTGGTAGGGTGCTTTCTCATTTTCCCTTTCTGTCTCTCTCCCACAAGCACATATTCTCTACAGGAAAAGAAACAAACAAAAAAGCATACTACTCTAATCTAGGGAAGTGTGATTTTCCCCTCATAAATTGCATGAAAAGTAGGCCCTGTGAATAATCAATAAAGAGGTTTAATTTTTTTTTTTCCCTGTAGGAAAGAACATGAGTTGTAGTATTAGGATGAAATAGGGGCTAAAAGCCAAATGGGCGGTAAAATAAGCGACAGCTATCCATGATGTGCCAAGCCAGGCATCAAGCAGGGTGGTGAGGGTGAATGGGTTGATGGTAGCTCTAAAGTGACCTTGAAAACACATGAATGTCTTAGAAGTTTTGATGGCTGGGAATCCTTTATCTACAGCTGCTTATATGATAAATTATTATTTCCTTTTTTAGAGAGATTTTTGCCATAGGGTGTGTGTACTTGTTAAAGAGACAGAAAGAGGGGGATAGCCACATGCAACCCCTTCTCCTCTACTCTCCTCTCAGGATTTTGGGCACACATGTACATGTGCCTAGTGTGAGTTTCAAGCTGCCGAATCTGGGACTCCAACTACAATTGGCTATGTGGGAGTCCAGCAATGTAACCATTACACCACCTGCTGTTCTCGATGATAAATTATGTTAGTAAATATTAGCTATTATTGTTATTATCTTAGGATAGCAATAAACAATGACCAAATACCCTACTCTAAGTTAAGCTAAGGGCTGAAATTAAAACTTGGTTATTTTGGACCTTCCAATACACAAATTACCTAAACCAACCTTAGGAAAATACTGATGCAAATTAAATAATCAGTATTGAATACTGATTATTGTGGTGGTCAAAGTTGTGGTCAAAGTTAGCTGCCTCATAACTTCTTTGATATGCCCTGTTCAGCTCTCAATGCTTGTCAATGGCCCACTTCTGAATGCTGGACAAGTCTAAGTCAGGTTTCAAAATGTGCAACAGGACTTGAGACTTTCTCAAGTGGAAGAATACTATGGTACTCTGCCAGAAAGCAGTAACTAAAATGTAGAGCACCAACACTCATTTCTGGATGTGCATGGCTAGAGCTATACATTAGATACTTGTTTTTGTTTGCTTTTTAGAGAGAGATTTTTGCTACAGGGCACGTGTGTTTGCACGTATGCGCGCGGGCCTGGCGTAATTCTTATGCCACCGGGTCCAGGACTTGAACTGTGGTTGACTACATGGGAGCCCAGTGATGAAACCATTATGCCATTTGCTGGTCCCACTTTTTTCCAAATTCTAAAGGCCAAGTTTTCCCTAGCAAACTCAGACCTGAGTGGCCACGGCTTGTGTTATCTAAAGCTCTCGGTACTGCTGTAGAGCACATCACTTACACTTAAGTCTGTCTTCTTTGCCAGACAATGGTATAAAACATGGAGGGAGAGAAGCTGGGTAGAAGGCATGTCAAAGGCTTCTTGCATCATAATCTCAAAAACCACAGATAATGCATCTGGCAAGAAGATAAAAGCAAAATTGAAAGAAAATTAGTTACTGAAGGTAACATCAGCAAATCTCTAGTTATGGTTAAAATGTACAATGTGGTAGAAGAATAAGTAGAATTAAGTAAAAACTGTTTGTGTGGGTTCTTCCTCACACCAAGTCTTTTCTGAGATTTTAGCTTCTACTGTACCCGTGTGCTACATATTGAGTGATGTTTTGATCAGTGACAGAGTACACATACGACAGTGGTCTCACAAGATCACAATGGAGCTGAAAAATTCCTGTGCCCTAGAGATGTCTTTAGTTGTCGGAATGTTGGTGCACAAAGCATTACTCACATGTTGGTAGTTACGCTGGTGTAGACAAGCCAACTACACTGCTAGTCATGAAAAAAGTACAGCACATTCTTACATATTACACATCAAGCGCCTAATACGTGATCATAACAATATGACTATGTTACTGCTGTAAGTTTTTACTATACCACACTTTCATTCTTTTAGAGTATACTCCTTGTACTTTTTTAAAAAATAGTTTACTGCAAAATAGTTCACTGTGTTACACTGGCAGCAGTCTCATACATCCTATGTTCAAGTCTCTTGACTGCATCATTTTCTTTTGGGCATGATTTATCTTCATTTTTGTTGTTCTTTTTTTTTTTTTTTTTCTTGAGAGGGTTTTGCCATAGGGTGCGTGCGCTCGCCAGACAGACAGAAAGCGAGAAATCACCCCCCAGGGGGGATGGCCACACCGCAATCCCTTCTCCTCCATTCTCCTCTCGGGATCTTGGGCATGCATGCACATGTGCCGGGCGTGAGTTTTAAGCCACCGGGTTCGGGACTTGAACCACGGTCGACTACATGGGAGTCCAGCGACATAGCCATTACGCCAACTGCTGGTCCCCATTTTTGTTGTTCTTGTTGTTCTTCACGATCCTTCTAGTGAGATGAAATGTGGAGACAGAAGACACTGATATTGATAAATCCTGACCCTGCACAGACTTAAGCTACTGTGTTGTGCTTGTCAATAAATTTGCTTGCTTCTTTTTTTAAAGTTTAAAGAGAAAATAATTATATAGAAAAAAGTTTATAGAAAAAAAAATAAATTTTTTTTGCTTAACTTTTTTTTTGTTTTAAGGCAAGGGTTATTACAAAAGAGTAGAAAACAAAATGTGAAATGTTTATAAAGTGAAAAAGCTACAGCAAGCTAAGGCTAACTCATTACTAAGGAAAGAAAAATAATTATAAATAAATGTAGTGCAGCTTAAGTGTACAGTGTTTATACAGTCTATCGTAGTGTACAGTAATGTCCTAAGCTTTTACATTCACTCATCACTCACTCACTGACTCACCCACCGCAACTTCCAGGTCTGTAAGCTCCCTTCATGGTAAGTGTCCTATACAAGTATATAATTTTTTATCTTTTATATTGTATATTTTATTTATTTATTTTTTTAAGAGTGTGTATACATTCACCAGAAAGAGACAGAGAGAGAGATGGAAGAGGGAAAAAGCCACCCCTAATGAGGTATGGTCACGCTGCAATCTTTTCTCCATTTCTCTACCCTGTTAAGATTTTGGGTGCGCATGCATACATGCCATGCACACATATATACACACACGTGCATATCCAGCATTTTCTTCAGTCACTGAGACTGGCATTCAAACCATGCAGGCAACCACCAGGAATCCAGCTGCCTCAACCATCAGGTCATGGAGATGACCCTTCTATACCCTTTCTATTTCACCAATACTTCCCATTGTGTTACCAATGGCCTACAGTGTTCAGTATAGTAACACGCTGCATAGGTTTGTAGCTTTGGAGCAATAGGCTATATATCATATAGCCTATATACCATCTAGGCTTGTGTAAGAATACTCTATAATGTTCACACCACAATGAAACTGCCTAACGAAACATTTCTCAGAACATATCCCTGCGGTTAAGCAGTGCATGACTGCGTATACTATAATTACTAAGTCAGGTGCCAGCATACCAATATCTGTAAGGACAATGAATATACCACTTTATTTCTCTTGGTTCTCAGTATCATTTCCATAACGATGAAATAATATGTGCACCATTTACTTCAACAAACTTTTGGATAGTCCAACTAGATAACACATATGAAAATGCCTTGTGGGCCAGCAGATGGCTGACGGCAAGGTTTGAGTCTTGGACATGGTGGCTTGAAAAACACACCGGGTTGTATACATGTGTGTAACTAAAATCCTGAGAGAAGAATAGGAGAAAGGAGATTATAGCATGGGTCATCCCCTCTGAGGGCTGCTTTCTCACTTTCCCTCTCTCTCTGTCTGTCTCCGCCAAGCGTACATGCCTTATTAAAAAAAAAAAAATATGTCTGGTAAACTGTGAAACAAATTAATTTAAGGCATCATGAGAAGAACTAAGGCCTGTGCAAAGAGGGCATATATTTTAAGGTCACCCTGACAAACACAGCAGAGGGGCAGGCTGACTGTCCCATTCTCTGTTCTGGTAGTTTTGACCTGTTAAGGCAGAAGAGAATAAATGCTGGAGGAAATACTAACTCACAGGTATGACTTCAAAGACACAAAACTGATGGCTATAAAAAAATTGGACAATAAAACTGTTTAGAAGACTTGAAAGAAGAGAAAGGAAAATACACATTCATAAATCATAAACCCCTGAGTGTAGCATAGAACATTAAACATTTGTTAGCACATGAATGCTGGTCAAGTTCAAGTTATTTTCTTCCATTAATAATTTGTTATTAAAGAACATTAACATTGGGACCAGCAGTTGGCATAATGGCTATGTTGTTGGACTCCCATGTAGTTGACTGTGGTTTGAGTCCTGGACCTGGTGGCTTAAACTTACGCCAGGCGTGTATACATGCATGCCCAAGATCCCAAGAGGAGAATGGAGGAGAAAGGGTTGCAGCATGGCCATCTGGGGGATTATTTCTTACTATCTATCTCTCTCTTTCTCATGAGCACACGTGCCCTCTAGCAAAAACCTCTCAAAAATAAATAATGCCTACACATATTACAAGCATGACAATTTTTAAAAAGAATTATACATTTAATTTTATTTATTATCTTTTTTTTTCTTTTTTTTTTTTAATTTGCTACAGGTCACATGTGCTTACCAGAAAAATACACAAACACACACACACACAGAAAGTGAGAAAACAAGCAGCCAGGTCCAGGACTTGAACCACACTAAACCATACAGGAGTCCAGCACCCTAACCACTACACCACCTGCTAGTCCCACAACAAATGTTTATAACCGAGTAATTCTGTTAACCAGTTACTGCACACTCCTAACTATAAAAGAGCCCCGATTTGCAGCTGTTCCTAGCCTGCTGGTTTTGTATGCTGTTATGGTTTGAATGTGGCCATGGGGCTGAATTTTTATATTCTTTTTGCAACTGGGGAAAATGAGATAGACAAACCAGGAAGTCATCTAGTAAATCAATAGCAAAATAAGGACCTGGAATAGATTTTCCTTTAAATAAACAAATCAGTAATATCTTAAAAGAACACAAAGCCAAAAAGTCATTTTCTTTTTTTAAAAAAAAGTCCCAGTCTCATCAACTGTTCATTACTGAATCCAAAATTACACATGAAAATAATTTTGTATGTATACTCTGCATTCCAGTCAGTTTAAGAAGTTAAATTAGATCAGCTTATATAATTCATCTATTTTTCCTTTATAATTATTTATGTACTTGTATTTTCTATCCTTACAAACATAGAAAAGAACAATATTTAAAAAAATGTTTGCATCAATAATAATCTTCATCAAAACTTTTCTGACCAAAAGAGTAATGTAAAGAAATGTCATTAAGAAATACAAAGGAGAGAAAAGTGCCCATATTTCCAAGCAATTATCTAACCTTATGAGTCATAGCTTCTTCCTGGGAGCTGGAAGCCTTATTATAATAACTGACTCTGGGTTTGGTTTCTTACCTTTGTAATTTTCTTTCTTTATAAAAGAATCCATCAGTAAATTGAATGTAAAGTTATCTGGGAAAATTCCATATTGAACCTGTAATGAAAATGAAAATAAAAGAAAAAAAGAGAAAAATGTCTACTTTAATTCAGTCTGTAATATATGCTTATGTATTATTCAGGATAAAACCTGCCACCATTAACTTTAAAATATGTGACTATCATTTTACAGCATCTGTGACAGTGAAATAGAAGCTGTGACTCATGAGGGTTGGTAATTGGAACTGTTGGTCAGGGTGAGAAAGTTGTGTGTGGGTGTCTGATATAAGACAATTGATATATGAAAAATGAAGCTCAATCTTAACACCTTGTCACTGCTAAAGAAAGAAAAAAGAAAGAAAAAAGAAAGAAAAAAGAAAGAAAAAAAAAAGCCAACCTGAACCAAACCAGTTCAGTGATTCTTTTGATAAGGTATGAGTAACAAGGCAAAAATAAACTCTCATGAGAAAGCATGCATTATGCAGCATTTTATGGTCCTTCACTTGCCTTTTAAACACCCAAGAAATATGCCAACAAATATTTACTGCTATCTAAGCTGCTAGGATATAGTATTTACAATAGCTGAATATTTGAGAATTCATACTTCTTAAACTTTCTTTAGCACCTGTGTCAGAATTTTCTAAGAATACTTTTTTCAAGAAATACTTAATTTTATTTATTATTATTACTATTTTAAAATTTGCTATAGGGTATATGCACTCACGGGGGGGGGGGGGGGGGGG